CTAATGTACTATATACAACCGCATCTCGAAGAAGGTCCAGTTGATCTTCGATCAGTGGAAGGGGATACCGATCTCGAACGATCTTGGCATTTAATTGCCGGTAGTCGACGCACAGTCGGGCAGTGCCGTCTTTTTTTTTTACCAAAACTACCGGGCTCGCATATTCCGAAAGAGAAGGTTGTGCTATGCCATCGCAAATCCATTCATTAATTTGTCGATTGACCTCTTCCCTTTCGGAGGGAGACAACCTTCTCGGCCGCTGGTATACCGGTTCGTCGTCTTTTAGAATTATTTTCATTGTAACGCCTACATCGCGACTCCTATCAGGCTCGTATTCGCGAACGGCTGTTTCCACATCTTCTCGCAATTTTACGTTTTCGACGTGAAACAAATCAATCGCGTTGCGATCGTGATCGTGTTCGTGGCTAATGTACATGATTTCGGGCGTACTTTCCTGCGCGTTTGATTGCTCTATCAGCGTCATTTTTCCGCCCTTGACTGACCATTCCGCAGCGTCGATAAAATCAAAGCCGAGCAATACACCATACTCTAAGACTACCCCCTTCACGACACGCAGCGTAGCTTTGCGAGTTTCGCCGTCGATCAAAATTTCCGCGTTGAATTTTCCGAGCGTTCGGTATTCTTCCGAGCCTATTCCTCGGAGAAACATTTTTTCGACCGTTAATGGCGGCGCCCCTATATCGTGATACACATTTTCGCGGATCAAGGATACGTCGCTCCCTGTGTCTAGGACGGCTACCGCGGCGCACCCGTTCACGCGAATATCTTTTCTGTACTTGCTTTTTTCCGATACCGTGACAGCAAGGACGTTTCTAGCGCTTATTTTTTTTGTCGGGCAATCGCGAGAAATATGACCATACTCATTACACTGGAAACACTTACGACCTTTGTTCCGAGCGGGGCATTCCGGTGTAGGATGTCCCCGGTCGCCGCAGTTGGTGCATCTCCCCGTCGCGTTATTCGATGGACCCTCAGTTCTCGTCGATGCACTTTCCCCCTTAGGTGTTGCGTGAATCGCCCTTGCCCGGAGTGTGATCCTACCAAACGCCTCCAATAAATCGGCGTTCGTCTTGAATCGTTGAAGGCGTGCCTGGTCCTGGAGAACAGGATCAGGTATCCCGTCGATAACGCAGTCGATCAGCTCCTCCTGGTCGATGGAGATACGATTTGCCAGAATCACTTTCTGGTGCAGGTAGTCAGCAAAGGTTTCTCCTCGGTGCCATGCTCTTGCCTCGAACTGCCGCCTTGCCGCCAGCCGATTCGTCCTCTGGTGGAACATGGATTCCATTTCCCTCAAGAGGACCCCGATTGACCACTCCATGTGTTCCGGCCGGGAGTGGAACCAATCCAGTGCCTTTCCTCGAAGTTTTGACACAATAAGGATGCGAGCAGTGTCGTCCCGCAACCCATACGTGTCGCGTAAGAGCCAAAATTGTCTTGACCACGTCTCAAAGGCGTTTCCCGAACCGTCGAAGTGATTAAGCAGGTCCGCAATAGCCGTGATGCTCGTGCGGAGGGGCTCCGGGGTCGCGAGCGTCACCTCCGATCTCGTGGTGTGCGGCGCCTGACTCGTTTGTATTGTCCGCATAACCTCTAATTCGCGTTTTGCCAGCTCTGCCTCCCGAATAGCCATCTCCTTCTCTTTTTCCAGAAGCTCGAGACGTAGTTGCATTAGCTCCATTTCTGTCGCTTGGGTCGTGGTGGGTGGTATCTGCATCATGTCGCCCTGCACGGATGCCTCTTCTTCATCGGTAACACCTTCTAGTTCGCCTCCGTGGTTGAGCAGTCTTGCAATCAGTTCGTTCTTCGTCCCGCTTGTGGAAAGGGTTTTTTCCCGTAGGAGCTCCTTCAGTTTCGCCGTGGTGAAATCTTGCAACATTTTTCCTTCCATTTGTGAGAGAAAAAAAAAAAAATTGTGTTCTTTCGCGCACTCTAAGATCGATGTCTAGATCCCGGACGAGCCCCCAAATGTAGGATCAGAAGTGTAAAATCTGCCTTTTTTGTAATTCACATGCGCGAATTGGAAAGAAACACAATCAACGTATAAATTAATTATAATTGAAACACAACGTATCACCGTATAAATTAGTTATAATCGAAACACAACGTATAAACGTATAAATTAGTTATAATCGGAACACAACGTATAAATTAATTATAATCGAATCACAACGTATCAACGTATAAATTAGTTATAATCGGAACACAACGTAACATGTAACGTAATGGACGTTCGTAGCGTAATCTTCGTGATCGACGTTCACTCTCAAAAAAGCCCCACTCTTTCCCGGACTCGCGCTTTTATCCCCCAGCTCCCGAACACTTGCCGGTTTCACGTCCGGTCATGTTTCGAGAACGTTCTCGTCGTTTCGTATCAATATCGCGTTACCATAGTCCATGCACTCATACATTCAATCATGCAATCATTTAGAGTCGACACATTCATGTAGTTCAATCATTCCAGAACGTTCTTGACATTTTCCATAGTTCCTCATCCGGTATTACTTCTCGAATATTCCTAACGTTACCAAACATTCCGTCTCTAAGGTCATTGCACTCATACATTCAACCATTCACTCAGAATCGACACATTCAGTTCACTCAGTCATTCCCTGCGATCGATACGATACAACGAAGAACGCTCATCTCCTACAGATATTATTGGTGCTGCATCCATTATGCGTAGCTACGGCACTGCCGCGCCGAGATAGGCAAGCGATGGCCGCGTGGCGGTCAAACGTCGTGCACGCGTTGCAAATACACATTTTCTCGACCTGTGGCAATTGAGAACAGCTTTTACACTTCTGTTGGACAGTTTCTTCTTCAGAAATGTCTGCAGTATCAGATCCTGTGTATAGATTTCGTGTCAGGTAAACAACTTTTCGTAAATATGCAAAAGTATTGTGTATAAAGTATGTACTTCGACACTTTTTCAAACTTTGGCGATCATTTACAACCGTTCAAAAGTACAAAATATTATAACTATCGATGTTAGTATATTCAGGAATCTCTCCTCTATCTTTTAAGATTAATTGGAACTCTCTGATGTTTTTAATTTTCGCGTAATACCTTGCTTTTGCCCAAAATTATACGTTTTTACAAAAACTCTTTTTTTTCGAAAACTGAGGGTGATACAGCAATTCCATTTTCAGATTCGTTTTTAGGGTACAAAGCTCTACAAGAATCACCTAGTGGGTATTGAAAAACAAAATTCGTGTTGAACAGTGTTATCATTTATGGGATCGAGAGGTGCTGTCCAATAGTTTCCCTAGCAGTACCGCTGCGCACAACTCAAGACTCGGAATCGTCTACGTGTTGAGTGGTGCGACTCTGGATTTGGAACAAATTAAGTGTGCCGAGGTGTGACCGGCTGCATCGGTAGACCGTAGATACAGGCACGCGCCGTACGCGCGCTCGCTCGCGTCACAAAACCCATGTATTTGGCTGTCTATCTGTTTAGTCCGAAGTCGAAAGGATCGTTCCGGAGTAGTAAATTTGCACGTGGTGTGCCGACTAAACTAAATTTCGAAGGACCACCCCTTATTCAGGGGACTAACGAAACGTTTTACTGTTGTATTGTATTTTAAAAACTCAACAAAAATATACACTGATCAGATTAGGAACGGCTAGCGCACTATCTGTTTGTCAAATGGTAACTAAGTACGTAAGCAAGCAAGTAAGCAAGTAAGCGACTAAGCGAGTAAGCGAATAATAATCAATAAGGGCGAAATCACGGCATGCCGTCGTTTTTATACTGCTGACTTTGGGGCGGGGGTGTGACGATGCCGACGTAGCTTGGCGTCCAAGGCGGAGGGTGCTACGTTTGGCAACTCCGGGGACTTTCCACCGCGTGCGTCAGCCCTTGGGCCCGCGTACGAACCATCGACGAAAACAAGGGAGGCCCAAGGCGCAGAGCCGCGCACGTGTGGGCCATCCGACAGTCTCTTGGGGCTGCAACCACTCGAGACTGCCTTCGCCAACCAAGTTTATGACACTTTGTCCCTTTTGTTTAGCGAAACTCTAAGATATTTTTTGCCCATGCTGGCCTTGACGAAACTGTACAAACGCGGTTCTGTGTCATAAACCTGGTCGACTCACCGAAGCCCAAACACTATCGCTTTGTCTCTCACGATTAGCCGCGGAATTGAAAGTTCCTCAATAAGGTGGAGTTGAGCCTCGAAAGCCTTCCACGCGTTGTGCACGCTCAATGGGATTGATTCGTCCCAATCGAGTTTTAATTGACATAGTGTTTGCATGAATATTTTCGCTTTAACTATTACCGGGCCGAGGAAACCCAATGGATCAAAAAGTTTGGCGACGCGTGATAGTATGACCCGTTTCGTGACTTGATTGTGTGCGTCACTACGAGTCACCACATATTTAAAGACGTTCTGCTCGCGATGCCATGATAAACCTAACGTTTTCTTTTCTTTATCGCACCGAATCGTCAGCGCGGATGCATCGTCGCTAGCCGCCGACGCAGGTAGTAGACCCTTTTCGTTCGACGACCATTGTCGCAGTTCGAGACCCCCTTTGGCCGCGAGGCCATTGAGCTCGACTTTAAGGTGTAGCGCGTTTTTAAAATTGTCTGCACCGGTTAGCAAATCGTCGACATAAAAGTCGGATCGAGAAGCTGCCGCGGCGATGGGATGTGTGTGCCCATCGTCTTCGGCAAGCTGGTGCAATGTTTTGGTCGCGAGATATGATGCCGACGCGGTTCCGTATGTGACCGTATTTAAAAAGTACGTGGCGATTGGTTTCGTTGGATCGTCGCGCCATAATATTTTTTGATATTTTCGATCCGATTCGTCTACGTTTATCTGTCTATACATCTTCGCGATATCGGCTGTGAGAACGTACTTGTATTTTCGAAATCGGACTACGATAGAGAATAGATCCTCTTGAACGGTCGGGCCGGTCATTAACGCGTCGTTTAACGAAATGCCCGTTGACGATTTTGCCGATGCATCAAAGACTACTCAGGTTTTGGTAGTTACGCTCGTCTCCTTTCGCACTGCGTGATGCGGCAGGTAGTAGCCTTCGGAGGGTGGGCTCGACTGTACCTTGGTCATGTGGCCGAGGCTTTCGTATTCCCGCATGAACCCATTGTATTGTTCGCGATACTGGGGATTGCGCGCTAAAGATCGTTCTAACGCTTCGAACCGTTTTAATGCCGTCGTGCGCGATTCTCCAAGATTTTGTACCGTGGCTTTAAATGGTAGCTTTACCGTGTATCGTCCCGTCTCCGGATCGCGACGCGTGTTTTCTTTGTAATGTCTTTCGCATTCGCTTTCTTCCGCGGACAGTAATCGCTCACGCGGACCTTCCTCAATCTCCCAGAATCTGCTGAGCTGCTCTTGTAACGCGTTTAACGTCACGCAGCATCTGACCTTTGGAGGTCCTTGCCGTGCGTGTATCTCTCCTACCACTATCCACCCTATTATCGTTTTTTGCAAATACATGTACGGGGAAGCTAATTTAATTTGGCCGATACAAAGTAATTTCCAGAATAACTGCGCGCCTACTAAACCGTCAATTTCTGATGGAATATGAAAATCTGGATCTGCTAGTCGGACGTGTTTCGGGATTTCCAAGTCTTTTTCATTTATTTCCATGGATGGAACTATATCCGCGATTTCTTTCACCACTAAAAATCCGAGGTCCTGAGAGAAAGCTGTAGTTCGCGATTTCATCCGTGCGGTCGTGAAATGATTAATTTGTGAGGTCATTCGGTTCATACCGGTGATCGGGATTTCGACCTTTTCTGTTTTTAATTTCGCGCGGTCTACGAATTTCTGTGTGAGGAAATGAGATTGCGTGCAGGAGTCTAAAAGTACGCGACATTGATGCAACTGACCGCGATTGTCTACTATGTCTACTACCGCGGTGGCAAGAAGCACTTGTGCTGCTGAATTTGTTTTTAAGCAGCTTACGTTGACTCGCGACGTAGAGGGCTGTGGCTCGTTAGCTGGCTCTATATGTAATAGTGTATTGTGTTTTTTTTGGCAAACCCTGCACGTGCTGGATTTGCATTCCGCGACCGAATGTCTCTTCCGTAAACCATTAAAGCACACTCGCTTCTTCTTTATCAATTTGATACGCTCGGCGATCGGTGCTTTTAATAATTTTTCGCATGCGTATCTACAATGGGACCCGTTGCAGACGCTACACGTGTTCCCGTTTTGCGTGGCGACGTTGTTCGTGCTGTGGTATTTTTTTATCCCGTGACTCGTTATACGGGTTGTTGCGTGGTGCGTTGACTACGGTTACGGATGGCTCTAAATCTTGGCATCTGTTGTGCAGAAATTCTGTTTCGGCCACGAACAAATATTCGCAGGTTACACAAATCTTGCTCGTGGTCGTTGCGTATTGCACAGCCACTCTGTGCCCTTAACCTTTGCCTTAACCCTCAGAAGCTGTTGCTTCTGATGCGCAGAACTGAAGTCTGCGGAGACTGATTATTGAGGTGATTTCTCTGTTCAAGTTAATCGATCAATCTGACTTCCCAATCTGATTTTTCCCATAAGGAAACCTCGGTTTCCCCTGCCAAGGTGACAACGACGAACATTGTCTACCGGAGGGAGGATTGGTCAATCCAATCCTCATCGTCGTCACCTTGGCAGGGCGGTTCCTAACAATTTGCAACATTCCCGCCCACCCTGCCGTCCAGTGTCCAGGTAGACCATGCAGGAGTGAGCGAGAACGCTGCATTGTTATTAACATTGGGAAATGCCCAATGGCCGCGAGACCCCGGTGGTCCGCAGCTGTGCGCCAACGCGGGTTTACGATACGTCAATCGCTATTGAGGCAAGGAAGAGCTCCAAGGATTCCAAGTCCCGTGTGGAGTTTGGAGGTTCCTTAACACTAAACCTACCGACATTTCATGTATACCTAATCCTACCAGGAGCGGTCAAATGACCGCTTCAAGAAAACATATGTATCTTAATATAGAAAGAGATTTTAGCTAATTGGATAGTAAACAAAATATTTTTCAGGTGCTACAATAAAACCCGCTCCTCGCTTTTCTATTTAGAAAGTTTTATTTACCTTTATGCATTTTCAGCACATTTTTTACAAATTACAGCATTTTGTATTGCACATTTTCCACATACGTATTTTTTACATTTTATACAAATTTTGTTAGTCTTATTGACTTTACAATATCTTACTTGACAAGATTTCCGTTCAGAAAAATCTGTAGCTGTGTTTATTATTGTTTTTGATGAACATTCTTTGCTTAGCTGTCTCTCCTTCTGATATTCGGTCCAAGCTCTTCTGCTAATCGAAATAAAAATTCTTGCCTCGATATTTCTTCACCCGTCGTTTCTTTATATAAACTCCAAGCATTTATCCCGGCTAAATCTAAGATATTGAAAAATACCTGTAAAGGCCATCTTTGACATTTAGATTTTACACTATATTATCTGGCCATTTGATCGGTTACATCTACACCGAATTTTGTGCTATTGTAAAATCTAATTGTCTCTGGTATACGGGTGTCACTTTTTTCAATTTCAACGGATGAATGCATTGAACTAAGTATCAATACTTTTTTATTGGGTTTAGCTTTATAAATCGAAAGAATAAAATCATTCGATTTGTATAATATTGTTGAGAAGCGTGTCATATTATCCTTTGCCTGTCTCGCTAATTTTGGTAGCTCTCTTTTATTTCTGCGGATAGTTCCAATAAGTGTAGTTTTTTTTGCTAGAAGTTTACTCGCTAATGACGTGCTTGTAAAAAAATTGTCAGTTGTTATATTTCTCCCATGGCCTGTATATGGTTCTGCTAATTTCAAAGTTACAAACTCCCCGATGGAGTTGGTGGGACCGATGGTTCTCTCCCTTTATCTTTTCCCAAATATGGAAAGCCGTTTACTATATACTTACTACTTACATCGGAAGCTAACCAGAATTTTATGCCAAATTTGTCCGGTTTGTTGGGCATGTATTGAGTAAATCTACAACGTGCTTTTGTAGGAAACAATTGTTCATCTATAGCAAGATATGCTCCTGGTTTATAACAGTTTTGACTGTTTTCGATAAATGTGTACCAAACTTCAGAGATCAAAGCGAACTTATCGTTTTGTAAGCGTTGGATTCGTTGATTTTTGTTGTCAAACCGAATAAATCTCATGATTTCTGTAAAGTCATTTCGGCTCATAGTTGTCGAAAAAAAGGCGAACCCCATTTCGTGTTCCATAAATATGATACATACATATTTTTAGCCTCATATGCGCCGCGTGCATATAGAAGTCCAATAAATGCATATAATTTTGCAATAGATAAATTCCATTTCGTTTTCAACACACGAAATGCCTCTAATTCCGTATATTTTCTTACATGTTCAATCATGTTATGATCAATAATCAAGGAAAATGCTGACTCAACTCTGCCCTTTATAATATTTCGTTTAGCGTATCCTGTCGGTCCTGATATTTTCTTGAAAATATTATAAATCGGTGCTCTTCCGCGATTAGACCCTTCTTTTATTTTTGGCCAAACAGTTCCGTCCATAGCAGTTTCAATTCCTTCCTCATTTTCACTTCCGGAACTAACTATAAATCTCTTTCTTTTTTGTCCTCTTCGTATATTCAAAATATTCTGTTCGTCCGTATCGCTGTCAAATAAATCACAATTATTTTCTGCTGTATCATCATCAAAATCGAAAACTTCTTGGTCATCTTCAGAACAATCCTCGTCGATATTATTTATTTTGTCTAATAAATTGATATTCCTCGAATGTCTTGACATTTTTGGGGATGAATATACTGTTGCGACGCAGGATGACGATCTGTCCGTGGTTCAACGGATCGTTTGCGTTCGCTATTCCTCGTTCAACTTAATGCACGAAGCGTCGTGATGTGATAAGAGATTTTAGAATGAGGTTAACACACCTTTTGTAACAATGTTTTAATGTTTACTATAAAACAATATATATACAATCGTAGAGTGTAGTGAGTGGTATTTGCTGTTTCTCGGTGAGTTCTGTCTGAGTTCTGTCCGAGTTCTGATCTGATGGATGTGTGTTAGCGTCGTTGTCGAGGAGGTTAAGGTTGGAATTGGCTGCTGATATCTTGGGGATAGGTGGATTGTAAGAATTAGGATTAGTCGGTTGTGTGGTGAGGGTGGATCTGAAAATGGTCTTGAGGCGGAGCTTGAATGTTTAAATATTTTGGGAAATGTTGTTCGGTTAGGGCTAGCAGGTAATGGGTGTATTGCGGTGATGGGTACGTGATGTGCAGCTGTTGGAAAGGTCAAGTTTTTATGGGACAATACTGGTCGCGAAGAGTGGTAATTGCCGAGCCTAAAAATGCTCGGCTGCTACGACCTTCTGGAGCTACCTGTGTTGAGGCTCAACATGCCGCCCCCCTTGAACTATTTAGTTCAATAATCAGATATGTGATTGACGAGATACAAAACGATGTGTGGTATGTCTTTGTCGTGTTTGTTGTGTGTTTTAAGTGTCTTATTATACTAGTTGCCTTATCTCTAAATTTAATATCATAGTTTCTAAGATTCTAATGTCTCCGGATAATCTATCGGCAATGGCGCGATGCCTTTTATGCTACGCTTATATTCTCCATGAATAGTTTTTACTGTAACTACACGAATGATCCCATCTTCTCCTGGATGGATGGCTATGATACGTCCCATGGGCCAATAGAGGGGGGGTGTGTTGTCGTCCTTTAGCATCACCAACATGCCTTCCTTGATGATGCGGGTGGTTGCATGATGCCATTTTTTCCGAACGGTGAGTTCATTGAGGTACTCCTTGTACCATCGTTTCCAAAAGTGTTGTCGGATTTGTTGTACCTGTTGCCAGGACGATAATCGTCCTGCCTTCAAACTAGTAAGGTCGCACACCGGGGTGCTTGTTATTGAGTCACCGATTAGGAAGTGGCCAGGTGTTAAAGAAGTTAAATCATTTGGGTCGGAAGATAGTGGAGTTAACGGTCTTGAATTTAATATGGCTTCTATTTCGATTAGACAGGTTGATAGTTCCTCAAACGTAAATAAGTTGTTGCCCATGATGCGAAAGAGATGGCGTTTACATGATTTTACTGCAGCTTCCCACAACCCGCCAAAATGAGGAGCCCGAGGAGGAATAAAATGCCAGTTAATGCCATTATTTACTAAATATTTATGTACATTATTATTCGTGTCGACGGTCAAGGTTTTGTGAATTGCCTTTAATTCACGATCCGCTCCGGTGAATGTAGTTGCGTTGTCGCTATATATATCTGTACATTTTCCCCGTCGTGCAAAGAATCTTTTTAAGGCTGCAAGAAAAGCTTCCGATGTTAGGTCGCTTACGAGCTCTATATGAACTGCCTTTGTGCTAAAGCAAACGAAAATTGCCACGTACGTTTTAATTTTTTTCGTATTCCGGTGTTTCTTTTCTTTGATGTATAGTGGCCCGCAATAATCGACACCAGCCACTAAGAATGGTCGAATAAACTTGACTCTGTTACCTGGAAGTTGTCCCATAGGGTAACGTGGAATTGCAGGTTTCATTCTGTGACACGTTACGCATTTCTTAATGATCGATTTTACTATGACCCTCCCGTTAATCGGCCAAAACGCTTGTCTTACCGCGTTGAGCGTGCTTTGCATTCCGCTATGCCCATGTTTAATATGTACTTCGCGTATAATTAAATTTGTGATGTGGTGATAGTGTGGTAAAATTGCTGGATGCTTTGATTCGTGTGGGATTGTTGAATGTTTTAATCTCCCACCGACTCTAATGATTCCATTGGCATCAATAAATGGATCAAGCGCTGCTAATTTGTTTTTCTGAGTGTGAGTTAATGATTTCAGTATTTCCTGCCTCTCGTGGGGGAATGCAATCTTCTGAACAAGTGCAATTATTTTTACCGTAGCTTGTGTCAATTCGTTAGTGGTGAGATGACTCGTGTGTTTCTTCTGTTGTCGTGTGTTGTTTATAAATCGTAAACAATATGCCATAACGCGTTTAAGTGTAGTGAATGACGAGTATTTCTCGAGCAACGTAAAATCTGTTTGTGTTGTTATCTTTAGAACTATCACCGTTCGTTTTTCGGGAATTTCTATTGGCTGTATCTCAAGATACGGCCATGTGTCCTCTGACTGAGATAACCATTGTGGTCCGCGATACCAAGTGGGGTGGTTTATTATATCAGTTGGATTTAATCCACGTGACAATACGTCTGCTGCATTGCATTCTGATGGTACGTGGCGCCATTGGTTGTACCTATTATCCTTTTGAATTTCGCTTACGCGGTTGGCAAGGAAAGGTTTAAGTATGTGTGGTGCGGTCTTGATCCAATGAAGGACTATAGTTGAGTCTGACCAAAATGTAATGGTTTGGAACTTGATTTTTAGTGTTTTTACCACTACATTGTATAATTTAGTTAACAACGCCGCAGCACACAATTCTAATCTTGGCAATGATTGAGTTTTTAAAGGAGCTACACGCGATTTTGAACATAACAACTGAGAGGTATAATGATGTGATGCGTCTGTGCTTCTAATATATATACAGGCTCCGTAAGCTCGCTCACTTGCATCACAGAAGCCGTGTAATTGCACGTTTTTGGCATTGTCTGCAATAACGCGTCGAGGGATTTGAATTTGGCGTATATTTTGTAACTGCGAATGGAAGGTCGTCCACGCGGTGCGAATGCCGATCGGTACGTCTTCGTCCCATTCTACCTGACATTTCCATAGGTCCTGCATAATTAACTTTGCCTGCACAATTATTGGACCCAGTAAACCGAGCGGGTCAAATAACTGTGCGACCCTCGCGAGAATCGTGCGTTTTGTAATTTTTTGCTTTGCTGGGGCCTGCTTTAACGAGTATCCTAACGTATCCTTATTGGCATTCCAATATAAACCTAAGGTTTTCTTTTCTTCTACCGCGTCTAGAGCTATGTGATCGGTGTTATTTAGTTTCCTTAACGACTCGATTAGTTTAGGCTCGTTGGAGACCCATTGTCGTAGTTCGAAGCCTCCTTTCGCGGATAATTTGATGAGTTCGTCCCGAAGTATTATAGCTTGTTCTATTGTCTCCGCGCCAGTTAACACGTCGTCAACATAAAAGTCGTTAAGGAAACTGCGTGCCGCTACAGGAAATCTGTGACCCTCGTCATGCGCTAGTTGTTGTAACGTTCGAATTGCTAGATACGGTGCAGACGCAGTACCGTACGTGACTGTATTAAGTTGATAGACTTTAATTGGTTCGTTTATGCTTTCGCGCCACAATATTTTGTGATATTTCCGGTCGTTCATGTTCAATTCTACTTGACGATACATCTTAGTGATATCCGCGGTCAACACATACTTATGAAGTCTAAATCACATGATGATAGCGAACAGATCATCCTGTATTGTCGGCCCGACCATGAGAATGTCGTTCAATGAGGTGCCTGACGATGAACGCGCTGACGCATCAAATACGACTCGTATCTTAGTCGTGATACTGTCCGTTTTGACGACTGGATGGTGAGGAAGGTAACAACCGACAGTGCGCTCGTCTTGAATTTCAGTCATATATCCGAGTTTTTCGTACTCGTTCAGAAAGTCGCGGTATTGTGCTTTTCGATCCGCGTGTTTATCTAAGGACCGTTCTAGCGCTAAAAATCGGGTATATGCTACGTTGTACGTGTCGCCTAATCTGAGCTCTGTATGTTTGAGGGGAAGTGAGACAATGTATCGTCCAGATGGACCTCGAGTGGTGTGTTTTGTGTAGTGATCTTCGCAAGCTTGTTCTTCTGACGAAAGAATTTTTGAGGCAGGGCACTCTTCCAGATTCCAAAACCGTTGCATGTCATCATGTAATGATTTCAGCGTTAGATTGCAAACTACCTTGTGCGATTGAGTGTTATTTTTAATTTCCCCCGTTACGATCCACCCTAACCCGGTTTCACGTAATGTGATTAATTGGCCATCTACTGCGATTTTATTCCCGTATAGGAGATCCCAAAATACTTGGGCCCCTAAGAGTCCATCTATTTCCTGGGTTTGGTTGAAATATGGATCTGCTAGTTGGATACCGGTTGGAATATTAAATTTAGTGTTTTCTATGGATTCAGATGGGATTCGATGTGATATACGTTTCGCGATTAAAAATGTAAGCGTCGTGGAATACCTGTTATACCGTGATTTGATGTGCGCGGTAGTCAGTTTATTAATTTTGGAATCCATTTGATTGGTACCGGAAAGGGGAATCGAGACTGTTTGCGTTTTTAACCGTAACTGCTTGCAAAATCGTTCGCTCAGAAGATGAGCTTGGGAACACGAGTCTAATAGTACTTGGCAAGAATGCGATTTCCCGGTGTTGTCAAGTACGTGGATAATTGCTGTGGATAGCATGATGTTTGGTATAGTATCGATCGAAAGACAATTTAAATTAGTTTGAATTGGCTGTGAAGAGTTGCCTGCCTCTGTATGGAGTAATGTGTGGTGTCGTTTATGGCATCGCTTGCAGGTAGACGCTTGGCACTCGCTCGTGCCATGGTTTCGCCGTAAACAATTGAAACATAATTTTTTCTCGTTTACGAGCCTAGCTCTTTCTAGTACGGACAGCGAAGTGAACTTCTCACAATTTTGCGAGAAATGAGGTCCCGTGCAAAAATTGCAAAGCATACGAGACTGAGTAACAAATGCTTGTGTTGTATTTGAACGCAGTTCGCGCATGGGCATTCTATTATTAATTGGTGAATAATTTCGAAAGCGATTGTTACTTTGTGGAGCTATGTTTTTAGAATGATTATTACAATTCGTGCCTGCGGGTTCGATTATCTTACACCGGTCGTGTAGGAATTTAAATAATTCTTCTACAGTTGGGAAATCTGTGTGTTGCGTATGTTCCTTCCATTTTAACGTGGTTTCGCGATCTATCTTTGTTGTGAATAAATGTAAAAGTAGAGTATCTGTGGTTGGTTGATTTAGCGCTTGTAAGGCTCGATAGTGCATTTCAATATTATTCAAGAATGATCGGAGATCTTGGTGTGTTTGGCGATTAATTTGCGGCATCTCAAACAATATCTTTAAGTGGTTGGCTACGATTATTGCAGGCTGATTATACCGTCGTTCTAAAATTTCCCAAGCAACCGTATAATTGATTGCTGAGTTACCGAGTGATTCGATTGCTTTAGCAGTTTCATATTTTAGACACGACCGAAGGTACATTAGCTTTTTGCAATTGTCTATGCGTACGTTGTCATGCACCGTCGAGCGAAATTGGTCAGCAAACCCTGGCCAATCTGCGTACGCGCCCGAAAATGTTGGCAGATTGATTTTAGGCAATGTAATTTCACTTTCGGTTGATTCTATCTGCGAGTGGGGCGTATGTTGCGTGTCTCGCGAATTATTCCCTGACCGTGACGTCGTTATATCTAAGGCTTGTGCTCTACATTGCATAAATGCTGATTTGATACTGATGCGTTCACGCATTAGCTGACCCTCCTCTAAACTATCTAATTCGGTTTGCGATTTGTTGAAAGCTGCGAATTCTGACTCTAACTCCTCTAACTGAACACGGATAGTCGTTGCTGAGGTTCCTTCAACGAAGTTGTCAATCAATACTTTAAAAGTTTCGAGTTCTATCTTGAACGCCTCGCGTCTCAATTTCAAATTTTTAATTCGTTCTTCATGACTAGGAGCCATTTTATGTGAATTTGATTGGATTCGGAATAGGATTAAAAAATATGTTCTACCGATGACTCAAAAAACAAGGGTGTGGACTTACGTTTCGATGCGACGCGACGTCTGCAACCTGGCGTTTGATGAGCTCGCTCAAGATGCTGCTAGATGCTGGATGTCACTTTGTCTGAGTGATCGACTCCGTTAGTGTGGCTGACCGTGCTGGACCCAAAATGCGCTGGTGTCTTCTCCCGAAGGTGACACTCCTGATGCCACAGACTTCGGCGTCGATGACTGGATGTGCTGGACGACGGCTCGTGATTTTCTCTCCAAATGTGACACTCCTGATGCCACTGACTTTGGTGCTGTTGCTTCTCGTGATGAGTTCTCCGGACTGACTTTGGTGCTGTTGTTCTTCCAAAGCACTGGATCCGGTTCGAAGGACCAATTTTATGTTGCGACGCAGGATGACGATCTGTCCGTGGTTCAACGGATCGTTTGTGTTCGCTATTCCTCGTTCAACTTAATGCACGAAGCGTCGTGATGTGATAAGAGATTTTAGAATGAGGTTAACACACCTTTTGTAACAATGTTTTAATGTTTACTATAAAACAATATATATACAATCGTAGAGTGTAGTGAGTGGTATTTGCTGTTTCTCGGTGAGTTCTGTCTGAGTTCTGTCCGAGTTCTGATCTGATGGATGTGTGTTAGCGTCGTTGTCGAGGAGGTTAAGGTTGGAATTGGCTGCTGATATCTTGGGGATAGGTGGATTGTAAGAATTAGGATTGGTCGGTTGTGTGGTGAGGGTGGATCTGAAAATGGTCTTGAGGCGGAGCTTGAATGTTTAAATATTTTGGGAAATGTTGTTCGGTTAGGGCTAGCAGGTAATGGGTGTATTGCGGTGATGGGTACGTGATGTGCAGCTGTTGGAAAGGTCAAGTTTTTATGGGACAATACTGGTCGCGAAGAGTGGTAATTGCCGAGCCTAAAAATGCTCGGCTGCTACGACCTTCTGGAGCTACCTGTGTTGGGGCTCAACATATACAAATGATAAAGTAAAAAGTAAAAACTAAAATATAAAAATATAAATCAAACGGGGCAAAAACATTGAGACCAGAAATAAAAAAAAATTGTAAATCATACCACAAAATATTGTTAGCTCTGTTGACTTTGTCGAAACTATCACTTATACCACGTAATAATTTCTATAATACACTTTGAAATTTTGATGCTCTCTGTTCGGATCGCAAGACCGTATTGTCGTATGAAGAACGCTATGCATTTGTTCCAATCGCGCGTTTGTCTACACTGTAGATCCACAATTACATTGTAGACTCGTAAAACAATTTCAGGAGTGCGCTTTCCGAAGAATATAGTCGTAAATAACATGAATTTTTCAAATGGTCAAATGACCGTTCGTGGTAGACTAGACATGCTATAAATTTTTTTCAGAAAGTAAACAATAAAGAAAGTTGTGAATATTGAAAAATGGGTTGTATGTATATTATAGGAAAAGTCAATAAGCTACATGGTGATACAGTAACGTTGTATACGAGAAATTCTAAACGAAATTTCAAAAACCGGTCATTTGACCGCGCATGGTAGGTTTAGTGTTAATGACCGTATCCTAATTTAGCAAGTAAAAATGTCTTGAAGGCCTAATCCTCAAAAATAGCGGAGAAGTCACGTCCAAATCATAAACCCGTTCGCTATACCGACCCTGAACAAATTCAACTAACTCTTTCATCGCGGGGAAGGGCGTGTTACGCGTATGTTCCTTCCATTTTAAATTCGTTTCCTGGTTTAATCGTGAGAGACACAGGTGAATAATCAGCGTATCAGCCGACGGCTGATTTACCGTGGTTAGCGCTTGATGATGCGATTCTATATGCGTGAGGAACTGTCGAAGATCACGATGTTTCGCTTTCGGTACTGGTTTCACGTTAAAAAGGGCGCTAATATGATTGGCTACAATTACCGCCGGTTTATTGTATCGTTTTTCGAGCAGTGCCCACGCGCATCGGTAATTTGCTGAAGAATTCGGAAGCGATTCGATGTTCTTCGCGGCCTCTCCCCGTAAGCATGATCTTAGTATAGCAGTTTTTTGCAGTCGTTGAGACGCGCGTTCTCATGCACAGCCGATCTAAATTCATCCGCGAACCCAGGCCATTCGTTGTCCATGCTGCCGATCGGATCGCGTTCGGTGTTAGCCCGTGCTTCGGCGGTGCTCTGAGAGGCCCCGATAAAGTCGTACGCGCGCGCGCGACAAGACATGTACGTGTTTTTTATTTCGATTCGCTCTATCATGTATGACCCGCTATCGTCCGCCAAGTCTAAGTCAGTCTGTGTTTTTGCGAAAATAGAATATTCTGCTTCTAAATCTTCTACCCTAATTTTTAACTCGGACGATTGATTTTCCGGTTTGTACGCGTCTAATGTATTTGTAAATGTTTTCAGTTCTAACTTGAAGGCCTCGCGCCTTGCCTTTAATGTTTTGATTTTATCCTCGTGCGACGCAGCCATGACTACTGTTTAGCCAATTACGTAATGAGAGGAAGGTAACCTGTAAGAGGAAAGTAAGTGATAGCAAATATTCGGTGCGTATGTTACCGTTGCTGCTTGTTCTGCTAGTGTGATCTCGCTGCGTCATCTCTGGACTCTGCTGCGTCGTTGATACGGTCGAGATTGACTCGGTCCGTGCTGCTGTCCTCGTTGATTCGTATGCTGATCCCGGAACAGGGTGAAGCGATCTCTTCACTGTTGCTGCACTCAGGTTGCGTCTCGATTCAGGCATAGGATTCAGGCACTGCTGCTACGGTTGCTCGATGGTGTCGTCCTCGTAGATAAATTCTCGAGGATCCGGCTCGAAGGACCAAGTTATGTACCGGATATGCTCGCGGACTTTATTGTGAGAAATTGTACGTTTCTGAAGTCGCGAACCCGGTTTGCTCGTCTAATAAATTAATGCAGTCGGAGCAGGTTACGTGATAGATAGATAGTGCACTGAGAACGGTTTTGTGAGTTCTTTTATTTTGTATGCTTCGGTTGACTTTGCACAGAAGAAGTGTCATTTTTTGGCGATGTTCATGGTTTACATAAGTTCGGATCTGTTTCTATTGATGGAAGATGTTGTGGATGGGGGTGTACGAATTTTGTCTGATAGGTGGTTGGCGATGGTAGTGGGTGTAACTATTTCTGACTGTGAGGGGAAGTGTGCGGCGTAGGAACTTTCCGTACAAAAAAAGAGTAGTAAAGTGGCCGATGGCAGCTCACGTGCTCGGCAAATGTTGCCCTCTTAGGGTTTCTGATTTTGTATGAATTTGGTGACAATGGATCGGTCGGAGACTCGAACGTCGGTCCGACCGTTGCCGTTGCTGATGAACGAAGGCACGCTAGCCGTAGCCATAAACCGCGGGGACAAGGTCGGGGGGCCCGGATGCACGCCTGAACATGCATACATACTGTTGGCGCCTCACTTGAAGTCTCGCGGAAAGAATGCGGGAGAAGTAGAAGGGATACACGTATTCCCACGTATACATTGTTCTCTCGCTCGCTATTCGTCGCGGCAGTTACACACACATGTGGACTGACTGACGAGGAAGGCAAAGAGATAGAAAGAGATAATGAGAAACACGTGGCGGACAGAGCCCCATTGGCGTAGTGCAACATATATTACTACTAGAGTAACCCTGCCCGCGTTGCTGGACAATACAATAACATACGTTTACGTCTTTGTATTAAAAATTAAATTTTCTAGAAAGAATAGACATTTTCCTGAAAAAGAAGTGCAAAATAAGATAAATTTTTTAAAGTGAGAACATCAAAAAGGAAAAAATTTATTGCAGAGCTTCGTGGTAAACGACATTTTTAGTATTGCCATTTTCACAAAAAATGAATAAAGACGACGGCTTCCCAACACGTGAACATGCAACATACAGTTGACCGTGTGAAAATACAGGAAATTCTAAATTTATTCCGCAAACTTGCAACGACTGGCCTTGAGCTTTATTAATAGTCATTGCAAAAGCCAAACGAACGGGAAACTGTAATCGTTGAAATTGAAATGGCATATCAGTGGAAATCATTGGGATGCGTGGTATTAAAACATCTTCGCCTTTGAATTTCCCATTTAAAATTGTTGCTTCAATTACATAATTCATTAATTTTTTGACCGCAAGTCTTGTTCCGTTGCATAATTTTGGTGGATTTATATTACGAAGCATAATGATTGTAGATCCGATTTTCAATTGTAAATTATGCGGTGGCATTCCAGGCAAATCAAGAGAATTCAAAAATTCAGTTGGGTAATGTACTACGTCTTCTTGATTCTTCACAGTATCAACAGATTTATATGTGATCAATTCACCATCTATTTGAGATTGAATGATGAAATTCAAAACATTGACATCCTTATTTTTTCCTGCCAATATAGCTCTTTCACTCAACCAAGCATGATTTTTGTATTGCTCTTGTATATTTGGGAAGACTTTTTCAATTAGTTCTTCTTTTGATTGTGTGAATATGCAAAAATCTCTCGGAATTGTAATGAAACCATCATTATCAATTGGCATTTTACCATCACCCATTAAAAGCAATTGCTTTGAAAATGTTACAGCTGATTGATCATTTTGCAATTGCACACGAACATTGGTGGTGAGTCTTAACGTTTTAACGTATCTCCATAGATTTGATAGCTTCAAACACGCATTTATTTCATCAGCTGGTGTTGATTTTGAGATAACAGGTAGTGTTTGTCTAAAGTCTCCTGCTAACAATATTAAAGCACCACCAAATATATTTTGATTTCCACGGAAATCTCTCATTGTTCGATCCAAAGCTTCAATTGATTTCTTGTGTGCCATTGTGCATTCATCCCACAACAAAATATCAAATTGTTTCAAAACTCTAGCCATGCCAGAGGTTTTTGATAAATTGCATGATGGTGCTTCATTTATCGTCATATTCAAAGGCAATTTTAGCGCTGAATGTGCTGTCCTACCACCATCCAATAAAGTGGCTGCAATTCCAGAAGATGCAAGTGCCAAAGCAATTCTACCACGTGCTCGTACAGTTGCTAAAATTAAAGTTATCAAAAAAGTTTTGCCAGTACCACCAGGTGCATCCAAAAAGTACATTCCACCATTACCATTATCAATTTCTTGCATAATTTTTTCATAAGCTAATTTTTGCTGTTGATTTAATTTAGGAATATTTTCTTGAACATAATTTGTCAGCACATTTGGATCGTAATTCTGTTCTCGAAGCAAATCTTGATTAAAAATATCATTTCTTGAACGATTGGGTGATGGCATACCTAACTGAGCCAAAGCTTTACTCGCCATTCCTAAACACATATCCTCAGTCAATATCAATGCCTCATTATACATTTCCTCTGTATAATTCAATTGAGCATTATTATTTAAGGTGCGTATTCGATGTAAAATATCTTCCGTCATGTAATCACGAAATTTCATCCATAAAGCAGATGGATTAGCCGGATTGCACGTTGAGATAATGATAGAAAATAAAATTCTAATTTGTTGTGGATATGCTGATACCGATGCATCAGTGAATGTATTTTCCCAATGTGTATCGTGCTGAAGCAATCCTAGTTTTTGACATGCTTCACGGTAAGTGGCGCATAATTGTCCATCAAGAGTTCTCAAATAATTAAATGATGTTGGACCATGAACATTTATCAAAAGCAAACGCAAATAAAAACACTCATCATTATTTGGGTGAACTGTGTAAATTCGACCTAAAGCATCAGTTTCAAACACATTTGGATGACCTTGAACAGATTTGCCTTGCTTTCGACGTTGAAATTCCTTTTTTGATGCATTCCAAGTATAATATGATGGAACCTGAGCATAAAGCAATGTTCTTGCAAATGAATCTTCTTGGCACAATTTAAGAAATGCGGTTAAAGTTGTATTTGGTGGCGCAATTGCTCTTTGTGCTGCATTTTGTTCATTAAAACAAATACGCTGACCATTTTCCAAATGAACAGCTAAATGTTGAACGGTCGGGTATCTTTCATGTATTGCAAAAGAGACTATACGCCATACTACTTCATTACTGCTGATGTATCGACCAATTCGGTAATGTTTTATTTCATCATTTTCAACAACACCGAAAGCAGCCATATCACTACCTTTCGTGATATATTTACAAATATATTTGATCGCTTTAACTGAATTGCAGTATTCAACGTTAATGTGAGCCTTAAAAGTTTTTGATAAAATTGGTGAATATGGGACAATCCAACGATTGTCGACCTCGATTTCTTGTGTTCTCACTTTGACAGTTGTTGATCTACCATTATCTTGTGTTGATCGTCGACGATATTTTGGATACCCATCATTTCCAGTAATGGTTTCAGAAACTTGAGGGGGCTGGAGGTTCAAGTGACAAACCTCAATCTACCCCAACAATTATTAAAGTGTTTATTTCCGCGGGTGTCGGAGGTGTAGCCACACGCAGGTCAAAGTTAATAATACTGGCTTCGCAAACGCGCGACGTCTTAGCCAGACTCGGGTCTAAAATAGACTGGGGGTCTTTCTTCTCACGTCCCCTGAATATATACAATTTCTTACCCTAATAGCAAAGGTAGAGTAAAGAGACAGGACAGAAAGACGGAAAAACGAAACTGGAAAATCCTCAGTGTAGGAAAAGTTTAGCGAAAGAGAGTCATAAAAGTCAAGAGGCTCGCCGGGCCCGGATCAGGGTGGTCCGAGGCCCAGGCGAAACCTTGAGGAAAAACAGACGCCTCGCGCGGCTCTGGTCGCCAAGTGTTTAACAGGACGACCAGGCTCGCACGAGACCCTGGGAAAATGGAAAAATAGAAAGCTTAAAACTATTCTTACATTCCATTCCCATTCATACTCTGGCAAGGGCGTAGTGGCTATACAATGGCCGCTACAAACTAATGCTTGTGGATAATTTTTTGTACACTTTCCATCTTGCATACATACTGAATTCATATTCAAACTACCGCATGGTCCATGAATCATGTTTTTGGTAACAATTTCATGCAATTCAGGATCAATTTCAGGATCAGGAATTTCTGCTGATATAACGCTATCAATTTGTTCTGGTGTTATTTTGTCAACCATCCAAATTAAAATGTGAGCGTGTGGTAGTCCTCTCTTTTGCCATTCAATCGAATACATCCAGCAACGTACTTCACCAAATATTTTTAATTTTATCAACATGTCCATTAATGATTTCATCTTTTGCTTAAATACACGTGCAGTTATATCATGTCGGTCTGTTGGCCCTTGACCTTCAAATAAATGTTCTTTAATTTCTGTCCATTGCGGATTGCACGTGAAAGTTATAAATAAATCAGGTCTTCCATAATGACGCACATAACACATTGCATCTTGCGCGTATTCATGCATATGTCGTGGTCCACCAACATATGACGATGGTAGAATCACCATATTGCCAATATCATTAGGATCCACATCATTGTTAATAGCATCACGCAAATGAATGTATTCTTCTGAACGTAGTTTTGCTTGATTATATTTGATGTAATTTAAACGTTCAGTTTCAATTTTTGCATACATATCAACAATGTACTGATGAAAAAGCTTACGGCAATGCAAAATGTGATTGTATTCATTTTGTCGAACCATTAATCGATACGCGTAATAATTCATAGCGCTAACCTTTTTATCAGTTACCGCACCTGCCATAAAAAGAATTAAAAATAAATTCCATTAATCAATTATATTTTAATTTCACTCCTTAAAATTATTTTATTTTGTACGCACCGGTTGAATGATTAATCATTCTTAAATTAAAATGGTACTCATCTTCACCTTGCTAAAAAATTAGCGGATATTGCAACGAATCATAAGAACGGTGTGTTTCACTAACATTTTCCAACTGGTCATTTCTACGTTGCAAAATAATATCACGCCTATTGAATTCTTCTCCAACCATGACAATCGCTACTTCATCTTGAAAGCTTGGTGCATTAAATCTTCCTACATGTTGGTCAGCTGGCGTTTTATCCGCATTTATTCTTATTCCATAATTGTCAGCAGGCACATTATCAATTTGTAATTTAAACATTCTAACCAATTCATTATGTTCATGTAATAATATTTGTAATTCACGAATAATTGGTTTGCTTAATTTCGGATTTATTGAATAACGCTGATCAACTTCTTCATCTCCATTTCCCATGAAATAAATTTGTAGAAAGCGATACTCTTGGTTGTCGAATGGCAATAACCCACCAATTTTATGGCACACCTGACCCTGAATCTTTAATTAATATTCAACAAATTGGTTAGAATTTTCGTATAAATGAAAACATATATTAATATCTGAATTGAAAACCACATTATTTACCTTAAAAGTTGGCATAAATCTATCACGAACAATGTGTTGTGCTCCAAATGATGTCATTTGAAAGCAACACTTGTACGACTGAATGAATTTCAAGAAATGTTTTGACTGATTTGTTCTGCCACGAACCAAAGAGAATAATGGCTCAGGTGGTGGACTTAATGGTGTTAATTTAACTTCTCCGCCAGCACAACACATTCCATCGGTTTCATTTTTAAATTTAAATGCATTGCATTTATTACAAACTTTATCCATTTTCCCAATTTGAATAGATGGATGCGAAGCGTAATCAGTGTTATGATCATAATTAAAACCTGCACGATCCAAATTTCCAATTGAATGGCTACGTCTCCGTTGTTGCCTGTTTTGATTGTCACGTTCAGTGTTACGTTCACGATCTCTTCTGTTTCTAACTCTCACACTTTCAATACGTTCTTCTCTTTGTTCTTGATTTTGATTTGATCTTGATCGTGCCATTCGTTGCCTTGCTAATTCATTACTTTCTAATCGCTCTTCTTCATCCTGATTAGATCTATTTAAACGTATTTGACTGCTGTGGCGTGTTCGTCGACCAATTTGTGAACGTATTCGTCGCGGCATTGTTGAATAATTTTTTTAATTTTTTTTGATGCAAAAGATTTTAATTTTAAGTGAAAGATTACAAAATGTCAATGAAAGATTATAAATGTGAAAATAAGTGAAAGATTACAAATGTCAATGCTCGCACTGTAAACTGAAATGACAATCAATAAACACACAGAAATTAAATAAGTCAAATGACGCGAGCAAGCAGAGCCTTATACCGACAAAATGTAATTCGCATAAGAAAAAAAATACATTTTATATAGGGAAAACACACCATCATAAAAGTGCGCGTATAACGCATATTCGTAGAAATTTTTCGATGTTTTTTTTTATAAACCATCAGTGAAAGTAGACCTTTCCAACGTATGTACTCGTTTGAAAATCGGTTGAGTGGTTCTCGAGTTATAAAATCACGAACATAGGACAACTTATTTTTATATATATAGATTATTATAAAAGTTATATCTAATACAAGACAACAATATGTTAGGAAAGTATAGGTTATGTAATTACCAATGGAAGTGTTATTTAATATTTAATATTTAAATCCTTTTAACAATACAATAATAAAAACATCTCAATAAAAAATTTAGAAATAAATAAAGAGGTGATAACAACTCTGTATGTGTATACATATATAAAAAGCACAATTTATACATAAATATAAATATGAAATCTGTATAAATATAAAATTTCTACATACTTAAATATATGCAATATTATGTATATAATATATTATTTATTACGCTGAAGCATTCAAGCCTCATTGAAATGTGTACAATTTTTTGCGGTGTGACAGTGAAATTTCCTCGGAACGCAAGACGATCAGACGATGTGCTCTGGGTATGTTTGCCTGTTAAAATAATTTTTCATTTAAAAAAAAACTGCATATACAAATTATAAAAAAAATATAGTATGTGTTTTTTTACCTTATTCATTATTTGAACTTGTGCTGCATTCCGATTCAGCATCAGTTTCTTCGTCTGTTGTAATCAGACCCATTGATTCCATCATATCTTCTAACAATCCATCTTTCTCCCAATATTCGTTTTCTAATTTTTCGATATGTTTACAGCAATTGCTCCAATGAGTAACACTAATTCCTCTAATTGCTTCTGAGGTATAAGTCTCTAATTCATCTTTCGTGTATGCTGAAATATTTCTTTCTCTCAATTTTCTTTTTAATTCAGCCCATATCAATTCAATAGGATTTAGATCGCAGTTGTAGGGCGGTAAGCGCAAAATGTTATGTCCATGTAGCATCATAATTTGATCAATTTTGAAACTTTTCTGAGGTTTACTTTTTTCGATTAAATCAAATAGTTGAAATTTTCTCATAGTAAAAGAGAATGTTATGTTGTTTTCGGTTAACCACTTCACCATAGCAGCTTTGGTGGACGATTTTGTTGGTGGCTTATTTAACTGGGTTGAGTGGTATGGAGCGTTATCCATAACAACAACTGAACTTTGTGGAATATTAGGTAATAATTTTTCCACTATCCACTTT